GGTATTAAAACAGCAATAATAAATCAAAAAAGATACAGAAAAGTCTTTAATTTGAGGGGTATTCAAGGTTCCATTTGAAAAGGAAGAATGATAGCAGCAGCAGCTCATAATTTGCTCTGCACAAAACTTTAAAGAGGCGGCCTATGTGCACTAGAGAGAAGGAGCAGATGCAGTTGGCAGAAGTAGACTTTTGCGTCATTCTTTTAATATAAATATAATTTTCCCAGAGAAAGAAATACTTAGATAGCGTAGTCCTGGAGGCTGAGCATTGTTTCCACATTATCTGAAAGGAAATTAGAGAGCACGAAGCCCGGCGGCACCGAATGGCTCCCTGAATTGCTGTGGGTGCTGCGGGTGGGCCAGGCGCGCGGCGCCCGCGGCTCCGCCACGGCACAGCTGCTCCTCCTGCCTGCCCAAGCCAAGCACGGAGCCGCCACTGGAAAACACAGAGGGGAATGCAAAAGCGTGGCTAGCTGTGCCCACACCTGGGTCTGGCCAGAGTCTTTCCTGGCAGATAAGGAAAGAAAAGGTAGAAATGGATAAATCTAGAACTCAGGCTTGTAAAAGCTAATGTGCTACCAGAAGAGGGATTTGTTTAAGCAGACAGGAATAGCTATGCACATAAAAGGGTTTTAAAGAGTTCTGCACTTCTTTTCCATCTGGGGTGCCCTGGAGCTGCCTGCTGCACCCGAGCGTGGGTGGCCTTGGCACTGGGAACGTGGGTGCGGGACTGCAGGAGCCAGAGCCCGAGCTCTGGCCACGCTCAGGAGGCTCCTGCGGGAGGCTGGGGAGTGTGGCCGGGCCTGGGACGGCGGCAGAGGCCGGAGCAGCGGGACGGGGCGTCCCCTGGCCCAGTGGCGAGCAGTGCCTGTGCGCGTCCGTGCCCACCCACTGCCATCCACGCACGCAGGAGAGCTCGGGCTGGCAGCGTCGCTCTCGTCCTTTCCTGGCCTTGTCTGCTCACTGAAATTTTGCTCAAGATACTTGATCTTAAATGCAAATAAATCTACTGTGTGTCATCCTGCTGCCAGCATCGATACCAGAGCCAGTTACTGACATGGCATTTGTCATTGCTGCTAAGCTTTACTTTGGTAATTTTATTTAGACAGGGGCATTTTCTGCTGATAAATCTAGCTAGATTACCAAGTCAGAAAGTATTTATTAAAACACCAATTAGACCTTGGTATCTCATCAATCACAACACCTTTAATTCATGCACGGATGCAAAAACAGTTTGAGGCGTTGTGCATGCACGAATGAGTGATCTAAATCACATTGTCACTTTGCTGCCGTTACCTTATCTTCAGGCCTGGAGGGAATCAATTTTTTATTTACCCTATGACTAATGGGTGATATTTTTAAAAGACTCAGCCCTTCAGATTTTGATGTTGAAGGAAGAACTGCTTCACAAGGTTGAAAAGATGGTGAGTGGGGAGGCAGGGGACGTAGCCCATGGGACAGGCAAGCGGTGAGGCTGCTGCTGGAGGGGACAAGCTGGTGGCGGAACAGGGGCAAGAGTCATCCCTGGCCCTGGGCAGCCCTCCCTGCTTAGTGCTAATGGGACCCAAACAGAGATCAGGTGCAGGTGGGGGTTCCCACGCAGCTGCCCTGCACCTGCGGGATTGGGATCTGGTAGAAGCAGCTGGAGTGGCTCGGGGCCGGCTGCTTGCACAGAGGTAACACACTGGGGTACCCACTTCTGGGAAACACAGTTCTGGGGTTTGGGGGGGGGGCTCCTCATGCCGAGGGCTGTTCGTGCGAGATGAGGGTCACTGTGCGCTGAAGCAGCGTGTTGCTGTGTTGCTAGTAAAGGGCTTCTTTAGTTTAATCAAGTTGCAGTTGTGCTGGTGCAGAGAGTTACCTTTGGTTGGCAGGAATGTCCCCGGGGACTCAGAGCCCAACCTGGCTGGTGTCCCCCATCTCGCTTCTGGGTTCTTGGGTGTTTTGTGGGGCTTTTGGAGAGCCCCAGGTCAGTTCTGGGTGCTGGTGTCTGTCTCCATCTGTTGGATCAGCCCTTGTTGGGGACTTAGCTGTGGGCAGGGGTGAAATACTAAAAGCTGGCAAGGTCTGTGGGCTTTGCCATGGCTGGTGTTCCCGGCGGGAGGCTGTTCCTCTCAGGAACCGCCATGTTGCTTTGGGAGCTGAAGGTTCAGTGCAGTTGCTGGTTTGTTGTTGTTCTTTGGAGCCGCAGCGGCTCCGTCCTGGCCTGGTTCCCACAGTCCTCGGGCCCAAGCCCGGCTGCTTGTGAGGCTGCTGGAGCTGGGAAGGGGACAGTGCCTGGCACTGGTGTCACCTGCATGTCCCGGATCTGGCTTCCTGCGATGCTTCTGGTGCTGATAAGAGGGCACGAGAGCCCCGCGCTGAGCGAGGCAGCCGCTGAGCCGGCAGGGCCAGCGAGCCCCGTCAGCCCGAGGGTCTCTGCGCACTCAGGCACTGCTTCCCAGGGCTGCGGCCCCATGGGCGCCATCCCCGCGGGGCAGGGCAGCCGTTGGGAGCCCCTGCTCGTGTCCAAGGCTCCTCCGAGGCCTCCAGGCGCTCCCTGCGCGTCCGCCCATGGGGAGCGGTGCCGCTGGCAGCAGTGCGGGGATGGGGACGGGTTCTACCCGTGAGCACTTTGCCATGTGTCCTGGCAGCCTCGGGCAGCTCCTGCTGTTAGAAACTCCTCGTATCCGCCGAAACAATGCGTGGCGTGTGCGCTGGGAGGCACAAGGCTTGCTGCTATTGCCTTCCCCGCTCCCCGCAGAAAAGGGACTCTGACCATAACCTGTTTTTTTTTTTTTTTTTTTCCCAACCATTTCCTGTATGACCAAATGTAGAGGGATTGCATGGAAGTGGCACATGGCCCAGCTCTGCTTCCGGACCTCTCTCCCTGCCCTCCCCATGATCCAAAGCATCTGGTTGGTTTAATAGCCAACAACGTGCGTGGGTTTTCTTCCTTTACCTTGGTTAGCAGGGAGTGGCTGAAGTGTTCTGATTTTTGGCATTTCCGGGAAGAAAAGCAGAAATAAACCATCGTGAGGCCACTACTGAAGCTCTGGAGATGGGGAGCTCCCTGCTCACTACTCCTGCCCGCAGGAGCCGTATGCGCTGGGCCGGGCGCGCTCCCCCATGGGTCCCGGCTCCGTCTCACATTTGACCATCCTGACATTGGAGTTATTTCTTGGTTCCACTAAACCCCTGCTTTTTGTTTCTGCTTCCCCACTGAAGTCACTGGCTTCTTTCTCTCTCCGCTTTCCGCGTCTGTATTGGTGATGGGGATATCCCTTTGCGACGCTGCGTGCGGCTGCGCTCCGATGCCTCCATGTGCTCGGGGCTCTGTTGTGGAGGGTCCTGTGACTGCAGAGGGCCCCAGAGCCCTGCCCGGCGCAGCCCCGCGGGGCAGCCGGGAGCCACTCCGCACGGCCGGGGGTCCCAGGGCCACGGGGCTGAGTCCGAGAGTGGGAGGGAAAACCCCCAGAGTGGCGGCACCAAAGAGAAGCCGGCTCCTCTTGTGAGACTGGAGCAGCCTGTGCCTTGCTCTCAAATTCTGCTTTGAGCCTAACGAATCAGGCCAGAAGATTTAATTAGCGTGCCCTGATGCTGTAATGGTGTTATGAAAGGCCTTGCTCCCGTTCCCGTTGCACGTGTGCTCAGTCGCGGGTGCTGCAGGCATTTGTTGCCCTCGTGCAGCTCAGTGAAGTTTCTTGGCTCTTAATAAGGCTCCATCCAAGTTGCTTTAGCTTTTTAATGCTCCCACCTTTCTGCGACCTTCTTGGACTTGTCTCCAAGCGCTCATCATCCTCCTTCCTTCAAATTGTGGCCTGCTGCTGGGAGAGGGGCAGCTCTGCCAGCCCCACAGACAGGCTGGGAATTCCCAGTAAATCCCAGAGAGTGGGGCAGGCCGCGGCCCGTTGTGCACCCGCGTGGGGCCAGGAAACAGGCTGTGGCGCGGGGCTCCGCTCCAGCGCGGACGCTCCTGGCATGGTGATTACTGTGGTGCCGCCTGGCACAGATGTATTTTTCATGTATTAATGATTGATATCGGAAAACTTTTTTTTTAACCTAGTTCATTAAATGCTAAGGGGCAATTCAATTCTTTCCATAGATTTCCTATTCTCTTTAGGTTTTCTTAATGGACTGGCTAGCCTGGTATGTTGTACTTATTATATCAAGGCCTTGACAGCACAAAATTTAAGCTTTAGAGAGTGTGCTGTATTTTTTGTTGTGTGTGTGTGTTTTTTTTTTTTTTCTCCCTTTCAGTTAAAACCACCCTCGTGCTGTGCAACTCAATTGCCAGGTTGGGATTCTGGTTTTCCCGTTCAGTTGATGGGAAGATAGAGTTGGTTAGTGCGGTGGCTTCAAGTGAGGCTCAAAGGCTGCGCGCTGCCCGCAGTGTTTGCGGGGCCTGGCCGGGCGCGGGGGATCCCGGACGCCTCCCCGCAGCAGAGCGGAGCCCGGGCCCTGCTGGCAGCGAGACCGCGGGTTCCCTCCCTCTGGCTCTTCAGGGCCTCTCCCGCTCCTGTCCCCACTCCGCAGCCAGAGCCGTGGGGCTCTGTACTGCCTCTGGCCTCCCACCCAGCCCCCTTTTCACTCCTCTGCCCTCTGAATAGTGGTGTTTCTGCCTCCCGGCTTGCCTTTGCTAGGCCCGTGATTGCTGCAGAGTCATTAAGTTCAATTAGCGTTTATTAGCTCTTAATTAACTAATAAAAGAGTTATTGAGCATTAATACAGCTTATACTTCAAGTGGGTGAGGGACAGTGGGCTGCTTGTCTCAGCCCCCTGCAAACGCCTTGGGCCCAGCCCCATGTGTGGCGCTCCCGGCTCCGTCCTTCCCTGTGCCAGCGCTTCCCTCCCGCCGCCGCTGCGGCTCCAAGGCAGCTCTGCCCAAGTGGGGAGGTGGTCACGGGCGCCATACGAGGCGGGCGGGGGCCAAGCACCGCCCCAGGCTCCCAGCGGGGCCGTGTCCCCGTGAGGGCTCTGCGTGGCCACATGTAACGCTGGGCACTCTGCTCCTCTTGCAGGTGAGCCCTCCCGTTGGGCGTCCTCGCACTGCGACTGCTGCTGCAAGAATGGCAAGGGGGACAAGGAGGGTGAGAGCGGCACGTCGTGCAACGAGCTCTCCACGTCAAGCTGCGACAGCCAGTCGGAGGCCAGCTCCCCCCAGGAGACCGTCATTTGCGGCCCTGTCACCCGCCAGCCCAACATACAGACTCTGGACCGGCCGCCCAAGAAGGGCCCCGTGCAGCTGCTGCAGCAGTCCGAGATCCGCAGGAAGAGCGACCTGCTCCGAACTCTCACCTCGGGCTCCCGGGAGTCCAACTCCAGCAAGAAGAAGGCAGTGAAGGAAAAGCTTTCCATTGAGGAGGAGCTGGAGAAATGCATCCAGGATTTCCTCAAAATCAAAATCCCAGACAGGTTTCCAGAAAGGAAGCATCCCTGGCAATCTGAACTGCTGCGGAAGTACCATCTATAGGAGAGGGTGGGGAAGCGCAAAACCCGGTAACGTCTAGCGCGAGATCCTAAGTGACAGGAAAATCAATCCCAGTAATAATAACTTGTTAGGTCATGAGGAAAAAAAATCCATCTCTGTAGTACTGCCTAATTTGACTACTTCACTCGAACGTTTATAGTTCTAGGGTAACAATTCTTTTCTGGTGGTGGAAGCACAATGACAAATGCTCTTGTTTGTGCACTCCAAGCGGTGGCACAAGCAGAGCCCTAGGGCAGAGCGGGGCTGGGCCAGGAGCCCCACGTGCTGGCAGGGCCGGGGCCCTGCGTGTCCCCGAGCGCCCGTGCCCGTCTCGGAAGCAAGCTCTGCCATGGCCGTTTACAATAGGCGTGTGTGTGTGTGTGTGTATATATATATATATGTGTATATATATCTCTGTGTATATATATATGTGTATATATATATATCAATCCATATTGCTTAAAGAGTTTCTGGCTCTCTCATAACTGCACTTTCTCAGGAAAGAGCAACTTAAGCAGCCTGTGGATGTTCCATTCCTTGGCGCCTTGAGGGTCGACTGGCAGAAAAGCTCCCTCCATTTTTGAGGTTTTCCTTTTTTTTTTTTCCTGGGACACTGTAAATGCCTTTCAGTGAGATCAGGGAAAAGCGAGAGGGTCTGTGTTGCCATCAGCAAAGCAGGGGGTTCGTTTTGGTGACCTTCCTTGTATCTCCCCGCAGCCCTTTGCCTTCCTTAGGCCTCCTTGTCCCCGCGGGTGACCCGTGTGATGAGAGCCGCTGGGCGGGTGTAGTGGGCTGGTCTCTGCAGCCCAGCTACGTCCCCGGGCCCAGGGCAGCAGCAGGGAGAGCCCGTCCAACACGGGTGCCGCTGCCCTGAGAGGCTGCGGTTGGTGCCGTGCCGGGCATGGGGAGCAGCTGCCAGTGCTAGGGGTGGTGCCGCGGCAAAGAGAGCTGACAAGAAACCAGGCTAATGCCACACTGGAGGTGCTGGTGCCGTTGCCAGCTGGAGCGACACTCTGGAGCGGACCCTTGGAAGGGCCAGCCCGGGGGGGGGCAGGCGGTGGTGGCAGCGCAGGCTGAGGCAGCCCCGGCACAGACGAGGGCTGCGGGTTGTCCTTGGTGCTTGCAAATCCTCAGGCCCACGGGAGCTCGGCTGGGACTGGGGCCGAATTGCAGCCACCCAGCACCAGCTAGGAACTACACCTGCTCTGGCACTCTGGTTTTGCAGGTTGGAGGTTTTGTTATTTATTTACTTGTTTGTTTATTTCCCCCCATTCCATCTCAGACCCATTGGGGTCTGTCAGCTCCTCGGGCTGGCACTTGCAGCTGTGGGCCCAACACCTCTACTCTGTCTCAACCCTGCTCAGCTCAGGCTACAGCCGCTGCTTGGCCTCCTCCCCTCCCTATCAGGAGCGTTTGGGCTCAGAACACAAGGGGCAGAATGTGACAGGGCACATGTGGGGCTTGTGCTCCCGCATGCGGGTGTTTGGCTCGCACAGCGCTGCTCGGTGCTCAGTAACTGCAGAAAAACTGAGCCCAAGTGAAATGCTCCAGCCTGGGCTTGATTTATCCGGCCTCCCTGTCTCTGGTTTTAGATGAGGTGGTTATTGCTTTCCACTGCTGCAGAAATAAGTCTTGAGGTTTAATAATGACCAAACCTGTGGGAAAGCCTCCCGTCATGCTGCTGCTTAGGTAGAAGGCCAAGCGTAGGGGGCCGCATCCCACCAGTGCTCACCCCGCGCCCGTGTCTGCGCAGGGCGCTGCTTGGCTCCAGCTCCGGGCGTGGGGCCGGTCGTGGCTCCTGGCCCAGGCCTAGCCACAGCCACGGGCTGGGCAGGCCGACGCCCGGGGCCCCCCCTGCGCCTGCCGCGGCTGCCACGGCTGCGATCCCTGCGCGGGAGCCCCTCAGACTGCACCGGAACCGCAAGGGGCAACAAGGGAGGGAAGGGAAAGGAAGCCCAGGGTGGGGGAATTGCTATTGCAGATGGTCTGTGAAGTGACTTTTTTTTTAAAAAAAGGCCTTAAAACTCTGCTGCTCAATTCTCACCTGTTTGAGTGGAAGGACCTGCCTGTCCTGGGTATGGCTTGGGCTTTTCTACAGCAGCAAGTGCCGAATTGGGTCAGCAGAGACCCTTCCCTGCCGAAACGACAGTCTGTGGAGGGAACTGGGCACCAGAGCTACTGTCTGCCCACAGCGCAGACTAAGTACAAGTGCTTCAGAAATGAGTTTAAGATGTATGTTGATACCAACAGGGCTGAGCCTCTACAAACCACTTTTTACCAGTAAAATGGGCAGCTCCATCAGTGGGGAGGGGGAGAGCCTGTGAGTATAGTAACATTCACCTCCCTCTTGACTGCTCACCACGTTCATTACGCTGCATGGTGCAGGCAAGCAGGGCTTGTATTTTTATTTTTTAAATATTATTTATTTTTGATGGCATTGCCTAGTCCATCTCTAGTTACCTCGTTTTATTCAGAGCTGCTTTACCTGCCGCTGACTGAGCGCTCAGGACACGGGGCTAAAGACATGTCATGAGTATCAAAAGGCCCCTTGGCGCAAGCATGGGGGACAGGGCGCTCGGCTCGCCCGGGCGCAGGCGGCTGCGCATTCGCCATTTGCCCTGGGCAGAAGCAAGCAGGCAGGTCAGCCCCGCGGGGTCAGCTGTGGGCGCCAGATGCGCAGACAAGGCCGCTCAGCTGTGGCAGGGACCAGGCTGGGGCTGGGTCCCGTTGCTGCTGCCTCACTGCCCCCTCGCTCCTGGCCCAG